AAAATGCTCAATGGCAGCGGCAGCAATTCGCGCAGTGGCAACACCAAATCGGGTGGTGCGAACGGCAACGGTGGTGGCAATGGCAACAAAATGTCCGATGTATCGCGGCGCAGCATACGTGAGCGATTAATACATTTGCTGGCATTGAAGCCGTTCAAGAAACCAGAGCTTTATGCGCGCCTCAAGAACGAGGGTATCAAGGATCGGGAGCGCAATCTAATTGGCAATATACTCACGGACATAAGCACCATGTCTCACAATACCTTCAATTTGAGGCGCCAGATGTGGAACGATGTCGATGAGAACTGGCCGTTCTTCAGCGAGCAGGAACTGCAGCAACTAAAGCGTCGAAAGCCACAGAATCTGACGCCTCCAATGAGCTCTGATGCAGGCAGCTCGACTTCCGGCCAAAGTCCAACGTCCACCCATACAGGTAGTCCGCCGCCCCTGCTCAGCATGCCCTCAAATGTGGTACCACAAATGCCCAACCATAGTGGAGGACCAGGCGGCATCATCGGTGGCAACAGCCTGAAGCGGAGCAGCATTGAGTACGATGAAATGTTCAGTACGGTGCATCCGAAAAAGCAGCGCATCAGTCACTATACAAGGGAGGCGGGACCACAATTTACATCGGCCTCCTCATCGTCCGTTGGCTGCCCCTCTGGCAACTCCTCGGGCTCATCGTATCGCAATCGAACGGCTGCGTACACGCCGCCGCAGCGACACCAGCCACAGCTGGAGGATCACAGCGACTTAACATACAGCGTGCTGGACAACATTGACGAGTTTAGGAGCATGACAGCGGCAGCTGCTGTGGAGCAACATCAGCAACGAAGCAGCAGCAGCAACAGCAACAGTAGGCGTGGCAGCGGCAGCTCATCCAAGCAAAGCACGAGCATCGGCGGCCCCATTGACAAGCGCAACTCAACGGGCAGCAACTCGAGCAGCTCCAGTGGCTACGAGACTCAGCAGGAGCGCAACAGTCGCCAGGCGTCGACAGTGCAGCAGCAGCCGGCGCACAGTCGAAAATCGTCAACAACGCCGCCCAAATTGACTGCTAGTTTTGTTCGTCAGTCGACGCCGACAGCAGCAACGCAGCAACAGCAGCAACAGCAGCAGCAGCAGCAACGGAACAGCTTCAAAAGCAGCAGCAACAACAACAATAACAATGCGCACGATGAGTACAATTCATACAACAACAACACGCATGCCGCGTCCAACAGCAAGAAGCGCACGAGTAGCAGCAACAGCAACGGGCAACGTCAGCGTAGCAGCAGCAGTAATAGTAGCAGCAACATGTATGCACAGCAACAACAACAGCAACAGTTGCCAGCGCCTGTGCAGGCGCAACAGCTCCATCATCACCAACAACAGCAGCAGCAACAACAGCAGCAGCAGCAGCCGCCTTATCAATATAATCGCGAATCTGGATCAAGTGGTGGTAGCAATCATGGAACCACTGCGAAACATCCATCGCCCACACAGCAACTGGCAGCGGCTGCGCATGCGTACGCAGCGGCAACAGCGGACGCTGATGCGAATGCCACGCCCCGTTATGACTTCAGCCAATATGCGCCCATACGCACGCTGGAGGTGCGCAGACGCTACAAGACTGAATTTGAGAGCGACTATGATGAGTACCGCAAACTGTTGACCAGCGTGGAGGATGTGCGCAATCGTTTCCAGGATCTGTCCACACGCTTGGAGGGCGCCCGGCGACGCGGTGGCGGCGACTACGATCAAATCAAGCGCCAGATTGTCAGCGAATACGAGCGGATCAACAGCGATCGCAACATCCACAATGATAAGCTTAGATTTGACTACTTGCACGCGAAGCTGGCGTACATCAAGCAGCTGGTGATGGATTACGACAAGACTTTGATTTGTCGATCGGCAGCAGCCTCAGCAATGCCAGAGGCAGCAGCCGCACCGCCACCAACTGCAGCTGAAGTGCAGGCAGAAGCGGCAGCAGCAACAGCACGTTTGGCGGAAAGCAGCAGCATGCAACAGCAACAGCGACATCTACAACATCTACAACACCAGCAACACCAGCAACACCAGCAGCAACAGCAGCAGCATCGGCAACAGCAGCAACATCATGCAGTGGAAACGATACAGCAGCAACAGCAAGCACAGCAACATTACATCAACAACAATCACAATAACAACATTAACAACGGCAGCCACGAGAGCGATTCGGATGACAGTTCTGGCAGCTCCGATTCCAATGATGATGATGACGATGATTGCGATGATTCCAACTCCAATACTGATGATGACGAACGCTACTGATTAAATGGATAATCCAACAACAACAATCGGCAACAACATAAAGCTACTTCTTGATGAAACGATACAAAACAACAACAAAAACACCAGCGACTGCAGCTGCAGTTGCAAAACAATGTAAAAAGGCAAAAAAAGAAACTATTATAAATAAATATATATTATTATATAAATTTATGTATATGTATATATATATATATGTATATTTATATGTATAAATATATGTGTATATATATATATATAATACACACCTAATATAGTAAAAGCAACTCCATCAACAAAAAACTACAAAAAAAAAAACCTAAGCGTTCTAAAGAAATGTACTAAGAAAGTAAAAAACAAAACCAACAAAAAAATGTTAAAGTTATGTTAACAATTAAACACAAAACAACGGAAAAGAAAAGAAAAGAAAAGAAGAAAAAACAACTATATGCAAAAACGACGTAGAAAGCAAAAGAAAAAACACGCATATATTTTATGAACAAGAAATTAATTTTTTGATAAATATGAATGTAAACAATGTAATACGTTTTATATTTGTTTTTCTTTTTTTTTTTACGTTTTGTGTGTAATAATAATTTAAATATTATTTCAAGCAACTTTTTAAATATATACTTTTATATATACATATATAGACAGAGAGAGCGTATGTTTCTTCATTTTAAAACACTAGAAACCTTTTTCTTTTTTAAACTGTTTTCCTTTTATGTTTACCGACAACCATTTGTTATAAACACACATACACTTACACACGGCTTCATTATTAATTATTGTTTTTTCTGTACGATATGTATTTGAGCATATAGTTTCCTACTATCCATAAACCCATGCACTCTGATATACCAGGAACAACAGCAACAATAACAACATGATTTAAAGCTTGCACAGTGGGCCCAGAGCAATTTGCTTTTGTCTTGCACCTATGCAGCTGACACAGACACACACACACATCCACACACTTAAATATATTTTCTTGTGGTGTTGCATGCGGGCGTGCCTCTTTAACAATAGACTGAACTTTTTTAAACGGCTTGTTAATTTTTCTTAATTGTAGCAGCTTGTGTAGAAAAAATTCATTTAATTTTTAATGTTTTTTTTCTTCTGTATAACTAGTTAATTTTTTGTTATATAATATATACGTTTGTGTGTTTCCAAAATATATCATTTTTGTTTCCGTGAATTTTAATAGCGCTAATTTGTTTTTGTTTTTCTTTTTTCAAATCCGAAAAGCAAGATATTTAAACAATTATGTTTTTCGTTTGCCTTTAGACAAATTTTTGCTCAAAACAAAGAAATGTTAATACAAAATTTACTAAGCAAATGAGTTATAGACATGATTGTGCGGTTGTATTTCAGAGCTATGCGGCCACAAATAAAAAAATTCAATGAATAAAAAAGAAAAAATAAATACAAAGAAGCTGTTTCTAGTTTTAGTAAACAACTTAAAAAGCACCTTTACAGACGCTTCCTTAAAAATACTTATGTCTAAGCAAACAAAATGTCAAGTCAAATATTTTGCTTGAGAAATTATTAAAAATAATTTGCTGAAACACTCTAGCGTGTCCAAAAACAAAACAAAACAAAACACAAAGAACATTAAAAAACAAAAATCAAATTTAATCGGAAGATGCAAACACACAAAAATTTTAAGTAAAGTGAAAAGATATGAAAGGAAACAACCGACAAATTTTTTTGTTAGCTATTTCGTTGCAATATTTTTTATATACCATATTAAGGAAGTAGGGAGAGAATAAATAAAGAAGAAAACAAAACAAACGAAACGAAAAGGGAAAATCAAATGAAACAATGAGATCAAGTTGCAAAAATCATGCGTTTAAAATCGATTTCTAGCAATTACAAAATAGCAAAAATGAAAATCATATATACAATTTATATACAAATACAAAAAAAGAAACAAAAAAAAACTATATATACCTATATACAACAATGACATTTGATAAGTGAAAAGATGAGAAGATTGGGGAAACTTACTAGTTTTATACGCATAAATGCCACGCCCACACACCACACACAAAGCAAAAATTCACACACACACACACGCAAACACATATACTAATCTACTGCAATTTAAAAAACAAAAAAAAAAAAACTTATTGATAAACAAAAAATAAATAACGATTATGTAAGCCGGAAGGAGAAAAGGAGTAAAACCAGATCAAGAGACATGAGAAAATTATTATTATTATTATTAAACTTATTATTATAGTAAATTTAAGAGCAAAATCGCTGACAAAACCAGCAGAATTAAAAATCTTAAAAAAAATGAGATATTGTTATATACTAGTAATTCTTAAGGCGACAAACAAAACAACAAAAAAAGAAAACAGAAAAAAAACTTAACAAAAAAAGCAAAGAAAAATAGAGTCAAATAAAATATTGAATCGAAAAAAAAAAACCACCCGTATTTATTATTATTTTTATGAACGAGTTCTGAACTATCGAAAGCAAAAGAATTTTTATTTGTCTTTAGATGGAAGTTGATTGGAGAATTTCATTTATATTGTTGTCTGGGAACATATTTACTTTATAACTGAAATATTAGGTCACATCGTCGATTGTTTTGAAGATTCTAATTTGAACAGCTTTTCGCTTGAACATGTACCACGGTAAAACTTGCATGAGTGCTAGCGCTTATGCGATAGATTTACAAACGAAATCACTAATCGATAACATATTTTACTCACAACTTGTAGAAGAGGAAGAAGCAGTTGAGGATAATGCTCAAGTCGCAGAGCTTTCCAACGATTCCGATGCCCCACTGAAGCCCAATGTGAGTAGATCATAATCAAAATATAAATAAATATAAATATTTGAATATCCTTCTGTGCAGAATGATGAAGATGATGATTACGATCCGGAGGATAATCGCAAGAAGAAGAAGGGCAAGAAACGTAAGACCAGAAAAGGCGAGGAAAAGGGACGTAAAAAGAAGAAGCGTAAGAAGAATGAGAGCGAGGAGGACAGCGATTTTGTTCAGCACGACGAAGAGGTGGAGTATCCCAGCACCTCATCGAAACGTGGACGCAAGCGCAAGGAGGAGAAGCAAGCCCAAAAGGAGAAGGAATCTTCATCCTCGGGTGAGTTGTAATTTAATATAGCTGTATGCTGATTTATACTAATCAAGCATATATATTGTAGGCATGCCTTCTGTGGAAGACGTCTGCTCGGCGTTCAGTGTGTGCGACGTGGAGATCGAGTACAGTGAGGAGGAGCTGCAGAGCCTGACCACATACAGGGCATTCATGCATCATGTGCGACCCATATTGCAAAAGGAAAATCCGAAAATTGCTGCACCCAAGCTGATGATGCTTGTGGCTGCCAAGTGGCGTGAGTTCTGCGAGAGTAATCCGCATATACAGCAGGAGCAACAGGGCGGTCAAGCGCAGGCAGCTGCTGCGGCGCCCGAAGCTGATGAGCCGCGTTCGTCGCGCTCATCGCGCAATGAGAAACCCGATGACATTTACGAAGAGGAGGAGGACGAAGAGGAAGAGGAGGAGGAGAAGAAGCCACGTCGCAAGCGCAGCGGACGTAGCAGCAATAAAAAGGGACGTCGACCATCGGGCAAGGTGCCCACATTGAAGATCAAGTTTGGCAAGCGTAAGCGCGACAGCTCCGACGAGGAGCCCGATGCAAGTGGTGCCTCCGAACGTGATTCCGACTTGGAGTTTGAGCGCATGCTGCAGAAATCGGACGATAGCGCCGATGAAAAGGAAAAAGAAAAGGAGAAAGTTAAGCAACCGGCAGAGGCGGATGCTGCAGCTGCGGCTCAGGACGATGGAGCACCAGTTGTGCGTAAGAAGGCCAAAACCAAGATTGGCAACAAGTTCAAGAAGAAGAACAAAATAAAGAAGACAAAGAACTTCCCCGAGGGCGAAGATGGCGAACATGAGCATCAGGATTACTGCGAAGTGTGCCAACAGGGCGGCGAAATTATTCTCTGTGACACCTGTCCACGCGCCTACCATTTGGTCTGCCTGGAGCCGGAACTGGACGAACCGCCAGAGGGTAAATGGTCCTGTCCCCACTGCGAGGCCGATGGCGGCGCAGCCGAGGAGGAGGACGACGACGAGCATCAAGAGTTTTGCCGTGTGTGCAAAGATGGCGGCGAGTTGCTCTGCTGTGACTCCTGCCCATCGGCATATCATACGTTCTGTTTGAATCCGCCGTTGGACACCATACCGGACGGCGATTGGCGCTGTCCGCGTTGCAGCTGCCCTCCATTGATCGGAAAGGCCGAGAAGATCATCACCTGGCGTTGGGCCGTGCAGCGCCGAGGCAGCAGCGAGGCATCCACCTCAAAGAACGCCAAGCAGGGCAGCCGTGTCCGCGAGTACTTCATCAAGTGGCACAACATGTCATACTGGCACTGCGACTGGGTCTCTGAGGTGCAGCTGGACGTCCATCATCCGCTGATGATACGCTCGTTCCAGCGCAAATATGACATGGAGGAGCCGCCCAAATTTGAAGAATCATTGGACGAGGCCGATACCCGTTTCAAGCGCATTCAGCGCCACAAGGACAAGGTGGGCATGAAGGGCAACGACGACGACGACGAGGCCGCCCTCGAGGAGCGATTCTACAAGAATGGCGTCAAGCCCGAGTGGTTGATTGTGCAGCGTGTCATCAATCATCGCACGGCACGCGACGGAAGCACCATGTATCTGGTGAAGTGGCGTGAGCTGCCCTACGACAAGTCCACCTGGGAGGAGGAGGGCGATGACATACCCGGCCTACGACAGGCCATCGATTACTATCAGGATCTGCGTGCAGTGTGCACCTCGGAGCAGTCTCGCGGCTCCAGCAGCAAGAAGAGTAAAAAGGGTCGCAAGACTAAGCATAAGCTGGAGCTCGATGATGAGGATCGTCCCGTTAAGCATTATACACCGCCGCCAGAGAAGCCAACCACGGACTTGAAGAAGAAGTACGAGGGCCAGCCAGCGTTCCTCGAGGATACGGGCATGCAGCTGCATCCCTATCAGATTGAGGGCATTAACTGGTTGCGCTACAGCTGGGGCCAGGGTATCGACACCATTTTGGCCGATGAGATGGGTCTGGGCAAGACCATCCAGACTGTCACGTTTCTCTATTCACTCTACAAGGAGGGACATTGCCGTGGCCCATTCCTGGTGGCCGTGCCACTCTCCACACTGGTCAACTGGGAGCGTGAATTTGAGCTCTGGGCTCCCGACTTCTATTGCATCACATACATCGGCGATAAGGATTCGCGTGCCGTGATACGCGAGAACGAGCTGACCTTCGAGGAGGGCGCCATACGGGGCACAAAGGTCTCGCGCCTGCGCACCACCCAATACAAATTCAATGTGCTGCTCACCAGCTACGAGCTGATCTCCATGGATGCACCTTGCTTGGGCAGCATCGACTGGGCAGTGCTGGTGGTGGATGAGGCGCATCGCCTGAAGAGCAATCAGAGCAAGTTCTTCCGCATTCTCAACAGCTATTCGATTGCCTACAAGCTGCTGCTCACTGGAACCCCATTGCAGAATAATTTGGAGGAGCTGTTCCATTTGCTGAATTTCTTGAGCCGCGAAAAGTTCAACGACTTGCAGGCGTTCCAGGGCGAGTTTGCGGACGTGTCCAAGGAGGAGCAGGTGAAGCGTTTGCATGAGATGTTGGGCCCGCACATGCTGCGCCGTCTCAAGACAGATGTGCTAAAGAACATGCCCTCCAAGTCCGAGTTTATTGTGCGTGTCGAGCTGTCGGCCATGCAGAAGAAATTCTATAAGTTCATCTTGACCAAGAACTATGAGGCACTCAACTCGAAGAGCGGCGGCGGCTCTTGCTCATTGATCAACATCATGATGGATCTGAAGAAGTGCTGCAATCATCCATATCTATTCCCATCGGGCTCCGAGGATGCGCCCACCTCTGCGGGCGGCATCTATGAAATCAATTCACTCACCAAGGCAGCCGGCAAGCTGGTGCTGCTCTCGAAAATGCTGAAGCAGCTGAAGGCACAGGGTCATCGTGTCCTGATTTTCTCTCAAATGACAAAAATGTTGGACATACTCGAGGATTTCCTCGAGGGCGAACAATACAAGTACGAGCGCATTGATGGTAGCATTACGGGTACCGTCCGCCAGGAGGCCATCGATCGATTCAATGCGCCCGGAGCACAGCAGTTTGTCTTTCTGCTGAGTACACGCGCCGGCGGCTTGGGCATCAACTTGGCCACTGCCGATACGGTCATTATATATGACTCCGATTGGAATCCCCACAATGATATACAGGCCTTCTCGCGTGCCCATCGTATTGGCCAGGCCAACAAGGTGATGATCTATCGCTTTGTCACACGTAATTCGGTGGAGGAGCGCGTCACCCAGGTGGCCAAACGCAAGATGATGTTGACCCATCTGGTGGTACGTCCCGGCATGGGCGGCAAGGGAGCCAATTTCACAAAACAAGAGCTGGACGATATTCTACGCTTCGGCACTGAGGATCTGTTCAAGGAAGATGACAAAGAGGAGGCCATCCATTATGATGACAAGGCCGTGGCCGAGTTACTCGATCGTTCTAATCGCGGCATTGAGGAAAAGGAGTCGTGGGCGAATGAGTATTTGTCCTCCTTTAAGGTGGCATCTTATGCTACTAAGGAGGAGGAGGAAGAGGAGGAAACCGAAATCATTAAGCAGGATGCCGAGAACTCGGATCCCGCTTACTGGGTCAAGCTGCTGCGTCACCACTACGAGCAGCATCAGGAGGATGTGGGTCGCACGCTGGGCAAGGGCAAGCGTGTGCGCAAGCAGGTGAACTACACCGATGGAGGTGTAGTTGCGGCGGACACCTCACGCGACGACACCAACTGGCAGGACAATGGCAGCGAATACAACTCGGAATACTCTGGCGGCAGCGACGAGGATGGCGGCGACGACGACTTTGACGAGCAGAATGGCGAGCGAAAGGCCAAACGACGATTGGAGCGACGCGACGATCGCCCGCTGCCTCCACTGCTGGCACGTGTTGGCGGCAACATTGAGGTGCTGGGCTTCAATGCCAGGCAGAGGAAGAGCTTCCTCAATGCCATTATGCGTTACGGCATGCCGCCCCAGGATGCATTCAATTCACAATGGCTGGTGCGCGATTTGCGCGGCAAATCCGAACGTAACTTCAAGGCTTACGTTTCGCTCTTCATGCGGCATCTGTGCGAACCGGGCGCCGACAATGCGGAGACCTTTGCGGATGGCGTACCCCGGGAGGGACTCTCCCGTCAGCATGTACTCACGCGCATTGGCGTCATGTCGCTCATACGCAAGAAGGTGCAGGAGTTCGAGCACATCAATGGCTACTACAGCATGCCAGAGCTGATACTCAAGCCTTGCGAGCCGGTACGCTCGGCTGGCAAGCAGGAGGCAGCCGCAGTGGATGCTGCCGCAACAGCTGCAGCCAAGCCGCCGGCAGAGAGTGCAACGACCAGCAACAGTGCGACTCCTGCGACAAGCGCAGCTCCCAGTCCAGCGCCTGCTTCAGAGAAGAGCGAAGATAAGGCAACTGTAGAGAAGGCAACGCCTGAGAAACAGGAGCCCAAGTCGGAATCAGATGCTGAGGAGGATAAGAAGGCGGTCGATGCGACTGTTAAGCAAGAGAAGGCTGAAGAGTCGGCTGAAGCCGAGACCAAGTCTGGTGAGGCAAGCGTGAAGAGCGAAACACCTAAAGTGGAGCCCAAAGAAGAGGGCAAAGAGCAGCCAGAGGCAACGCCCAAGGAGGAGCCGAAGACTGAGCAGACCGATGACAAAGAAAAGGAGAAAGAGAAGGCAAGCGAGGAGAAACCGGCAACTAATCCGACCAGCGCCAGCACCACCACCACCACCACCACGAACATCATTGATGATGATGACGATGACGTGATGATTGTCAAAGAGGATGGCGAACTGGAGAAGCCCAATGCCAGCGCCAATGCCAATTCGCCCAAGGATCAAAAGAGTGCTGCTGTCGCAGGCACAGGAGCAGGCGGCAAGCTGGTGGAGGACAGTCTCGAGGTGTTGAAGCGCAAATTTATGTTCAACATTGCCGACGGAGGCTTCACTGAACTGCACACCTTGTGGTTGAACGAAGAGAAGGCAGCTGTGCCCGGCCGCGAATACGAGATCTGGCATCGTCGCCATGACTACTGGCTGCTGGCTGGCATTGTCACACATGGCTATGGACGTTGGCAGGACATTCAAAACGATATACGTTTTGCCATTATCAATGAGCCATTCAAAATGGACGTGGGCAAGGGAAATTTCCTGGAGATTAAGAACAAGTTCTTGGCGCGACGCTTCAAACTGCTGGAGCAGGCGCTGGTTATTGAAGAGCAGCTGCGACGTGCAGCATTTTTGAATCTCGCCCAGGATCCCAGCCATCCGGCTATGTCGCTAAATGCACGTTTTGCCGAGGTCGAATGCCTGGCTGAATCGCACCAGCATCTGAGCAAGGAATCCCTGGCCGGCAACAAGCCAGCCAATGCGGTGCTGCACAAGGTGCTCAACCAGCTGGAGGAGCTGCTGTCCGACATGAAGAGCGATGTCTCGCGCTTGCCCGCCACCCTGGCACGCATACCACCAGTAGCACAGCGCTTGCAAATGTCGGAGCGTTCCATTTTATCGCGTCTGGCTGCCACCGCTGGCAACGCCTCCAATGCGGGTAGGTTTCACTAACTCTCCATATATACTTTTTGGGCAACTTTTAACCCATTTGTTTTTGTCAATTTTGCAGCTCAATTGATGGCACAATTTCCGGCCGGCTTTCAGGGCACCACCTTGCCGGCATTCACGGGGGGACCAGCTGGGAACTTTGCCAATTTTCGACCACAGTTCTCAGTGCCCGGGCAGCTGTCCAACAACGCCGGCGGCACCTGAGCACCATAAACGCATTCAAATTCCATGGAAATTAATTACTCTTCAGCTAAGAATTTAACGCTACGTATATTAAAAGAAAAAAAAAAAAACAACAAATCGCATAACCAATATACACTTAAAATATTTATCAAAAAAACTTGCAATGATATGAAATTAATCAACCGCTCACAACTTACCGTATTCTATAAATAGTAAATTTTGGCTGCTTCTGGCCGATTGACTACTAAAATGACAAATATATTAAATGCTTATTTACCTGCTACTTGAATTAATTTTATATGGCTACATATACGATACAATATATAAATCCGATTCCATTGCAAACCAAAATGATATATGGCGTGTTTTTCTTTTTGTACTCATAAAGGGCTGGGAGATGGGGATTAAAATAGTAGCTGAATATATTATTGGAGAGACTTTTCAGCAAGATGAAAAGATAAATATGGTTAACTTTAATTCATATTCTCATATTGGTAAGTCCATCCGCCCTTGGGTATAAAATAAACCAAAAATTTTCAAGCGACAGACTTTTATTTGATTTGATACTCGTAACTTTGTTGCTGTGTATTAATATTGTATAAGTATAAATTAGTTAAGTTTGTATGTGTATATATATATATATATGTATATGTATATATGCAATTTGTAAATTTCAAATACAATGTTATTAAACATAATGAAGTCCTCTGATAAGCGCAACACAGATCGCTGAAATATGAGTGGGGCTCATTATTGAAATGAGTGCGATTTCTGGGTGTTTCATTCGTAGCATCTCTGTCTAATAAAATATTGCTAATTAATATCAAGGTTTCGACAACATTTGACGAGCAATTCACCGACCATGGTCATTTCGATCTCTTTGTCGCAATATCGTTCTCCATTTCAATATTTACAATAATTACAAATAAATGGAATTACATAGTTTGTATATGCATATACAAATACGAGTAATTATAATTAATTACAAGCGGGCTCTGTTGGCCTAATACATAACACGAAGTACAACAAAAGAGAAATTAAGAATAATAATAAAAAAAAAATAATATTAAACAAATTTAACAAACAACTTCGCCATTAAATAATCTAATAATAGACTGACAAAAACAATAATTATATGCGAACTAAGTTTGAAATTACACATATAGTTATACAATAATAATAATAATAATAATAAAATATAGCATTATATGGTACAATTGGTATGGAATATGGTACATTAAACAAAATCACATTTGCAACGCGAATGTGCGACTGCTCCAACCAACAAAAAACTTCAAGCTTGTTTGGATCTAAAACTAGACATTGTGGGCAACTTAAAGTAGAACAGCAAATCAGCTTAGAATAGTAAATAACAAACAGAAAGAAACAAACACTCACGTACACGCACACGCACAAAGACACACTCACTTAGATTATATACCAAATTAAACACAAGCGATTGAAGAACCTCCATCGTAGCCTTAAGCCTGTAGTACCGCTTCCTGCAGTTTGCAACAATAGAAATATACAATTTTATGATATTGTGCATAGTTTCTCTCTCTCCGACTCATCCGCATCCAACTGCAGGTTGCCGACGTTGGGCAGCGGCCGTCCCTCGATGTTGGGCAGGTAGGGCTCGTAGTCGAGACCCTGGCGCTCATAGAATAGCAAATATGCAGCGCTCGGATCTATGTTCGGCTTTTGCGAAATTTCGCGACAGGAGCTATCATTGTAACAATACCAGGAACCAGTTGTGTTTGATGCATAGGAAATGTAGTGACCACCATTCAGCATGCCAGAATGCGACTGTAAAAATAAGGCATAATTGTTAATTCTCATCAATAATTCTATTGTTTGGTGTGACCTACCACTACGGCGTATAGCTTGTACTTGGGATCGAATTTATCAACATCCGCGTGCAGCTTGTGCTGATGATAGTCCTCGAACTCGCCATCAACAATAGGCGTCTTTGTGAGGCTCGTGGAAATGAGCCGCTGTCGTCTGGCTGAATTGGTCGACTTGCTCTGGCGCAGCACACACCCAGAGGCTAGCGGCGTTTCCCTTGTTGTGTCGTCCTTTTCGTCTTCTGCTTTTTCGGCTGGAGGAGGCACATCTCCTCCTGCTTTGTCGGTGGCATCGACTTCATCAAGCTCGCTAGGAACGTCATTGCTGGCGCTTGCCAATTCTCGCTTCAACTCCAGCAGCTCCTTGTGCCGCAGTATGGTCTCCTGTGGCACCGACGCCAAATAGGGCGTAGGGTCAAAGTCATCGAAGGGAAAGTGCACAACCTTTTGGGACTTTACCCACTTGCCGTTGACACAATTGAAGCGCTTCAAATGGACAATCTAAGCAGAAGGGACAAAAGAAAGAATAAGTCAGTTTCGCTCTGCCAAAGCCGAAGGTAGAATCGCTTACCAAAATGGGGGGCAATTTCCATATTTGTAACTTCTTTGTCGCTGGCTTCTTGCCTTTACAGTGGCTGCAGTGGTACCACTGTTCCAACTTCTCCTCGGAGGTGAAGGCACGCAAACAATGATTCAAATCAACGGGCTCCACTTGCTCCCGCCGGCATATCGCAATGGTCTCATGGTCGACCCAAAGCTGATTAAAAATGAACCAATTGATATATACAAATATACATACATATACTAGTCACATTTAAGTCGGTTCACTTACGCGCTCCAAGGTGCTCTGGTAACGTAAATGCAAGGCAGTTGGATCCCAGTCGATGGCGATGGTAAAGTCTTCAAAATATTTTGTGGTTGGTGTGTAGGATAGCGATGTGGTGTACTCCGTTGTACGTTTGGCCTCCAGATTTGGTAGCGATGGGCATTTAGCGTTCATTTGTGGGGTGCCTACGTTATCTAGAAGGATAAGTAGCTGGAGAATAATGTTCTTTTACAGATTCATGGTAACCTACTGGCCATAGAGTTGATGGGGGGCAGTGCGCCCTGAAGCACATAGTCATTGTTGCAGCGTATTTCGCAGCCGCGACAGAAACTTGACCAAGGACAAATTGCGCAGGTGAGACCGTCCGCTTTAACAGCGCGCAGTGTGAAGGGAAAATCATAGCCGAGGCTGTCATCGCTGCAACAGAGAATTGATGTCTTAGAATCGTTAATGGGGAAAACGTGAGCATAGTTACCAGTCGGCAGCATGATTAGCTTGTTCGGTGGTGGCTGGTAGGGGACTCAGCAGGCGGCTAACTTGCTGCCAGACGGCGCAGTACAGATCCTTGTGGGTGCCACCATCACAGTTCGGTATTAGCAGCGGCACACCAAACAGGCTGGGCCGGGTCTTGTGGTAGGAGAGGAAGTAGCTGTCGTGGCGCGTAATTTTGCGATGGACAGCCACAAGATATTTGCCCACCTTGTAGGGCTGCGAGGAGCGGCGCGAGTACACGCCGCTGGTGGTTTGATTGCCGCTCGTACTTTCCGGCTGAGAAGTGGTTATTTGCTGATCCGGCTCCTCGCCCTCGATCTGCCCGTCCGCATCGTCATCGTCATCGTTATCAACGGCATCATCATCATCAACGTCTGCGTCACGGTCAAAGCTATTGACGCCCAGAGTATGAGCTGTGCTCCGGCCACTCGATTGCTCGTTGGTCGTGCGGTAGGAGGCACCGTCATCGCTGTTGCTGCCATGTCGACTGGCAGCCAGTTCCGCCACGGGCATCGGCTCCGTTATCGAACTCTCCATGGAGTTCTCGCCAGAGTGATTAGTATACGAGACTGAGCTGGTGTTGCTCTCCGTGTGCAGCAGCTTGGTGGATGAGATCCGCTTCTGCTGTGCGGCCGCATCGTCCATAAATGTGTTCTCCGGGCTGCAGCTGAGGATTAGCGACTCCTGTGTCGGATGTGCCAATGAAGGTGGCCGGAAGTTTGCATTAGTTGTGCGTAGCTTACATTTATGTAAGTGTGTGAGTGAGTTTGTGTGTGTGTGTGTGTGTATTTTAAAGCTCATGGAATTTAAACAATTAACAATTACTACTCGATTAAAGGCAATAATTTTATAAACTAGGATAAACGCTCAAAAATCTACAATAATCGAAAATTATTGGTTTATTGCGGGTGTTCAAAATTAGCTGATATATAATTTATATACTTTATAAGAGCAAAGATTAAAATTTGTACTTGAATTCATTAGTTGGCATAGTTGGTAGTTGGTTTCTGTGGTGGGAATGAGTAGAATAGCATTTGCAATGTGTACAGAATAAGATGATTCGAGAGAAATGAGAATTATATTGAAGGACATATTTAATTATCATCTGTGAAATAAGTTCAAGATTGAAATTAACAAAAGTTTTCACTCAAATAGTGTGATAAATTACGAAATGAATAATACCATTAGCAAATTAAGATTTATCATAAATAGTTGGAATTATAAATTATAGTGAATCACCCCTGCATACAATTGAAAAGCTATGAAGTGTACCTTGGATGACGAAGGTAAATGTACAAAAGAACGGGTACAGTTAAATTATAAATTTTGCATACTCGATGTGACAATAATCGATAGTGGCAACTATAACGATAAGGACGGTAACGGTAACGATAGAAGCTACTTGGTGAGTGTCTATATTAGAAAAAGTTTAAAGCAAAAATGTACAAAAGGTATTTGATTACAGCCATCAACAAATTAAGTATGTGTGTATTAGTATTAGGAGGAGAATAGAAATAACAATAAACTACAAAATACGAGAATATATACTCAGAGGTTTAGACTAGTTGAATAAGTGCGTTTTATACGAAATCAAAGAACAATTAGAAGTTTAGACAGGCGTGGAAGGATGGGTGTTCGGTCTATTGTACATTACACTAGGTAGGTGGCCCACAAACCAAACAGAAACTGAAACGGCAACTGTTCTTTTAACATATTTGTATTTAATATATATAGATTTGTTTGATATCGATTTAAGTATGTTTTGCAACAATAGACGGAGGGGGGCGAAAATGAATGCCAGTTACGCCGGAATATTGGTTTGAAAATCTTGATAATCTTCATTTTGCAGGGGTTCGTCGCTGGAGCGAGTTTATCCTAGGCAATTGGGGAATTTTACAAAATATCATTTTAAATGCAACCCTCGAACGGGTCCATGAATCTAACATATTAAATACGTGTATGTTAATATAGTTTAGAAGCCATACCTTGAAGCAAAAAAGACTGTGGGGCATGCACTCTCTCTTTCCAAAGCACCGGCTTACCTTTCCGGCATCATCTGGTTGCAGTTCGTGCACGTGGCCGACGCTGCCGCTGCTGATGTTGGTGTTAAGATTGCTGTATTTGGTTAGCTCATGGCCTCCATCAGGACCAGCTGGGTCCAGCCCATCACTGATGTGCCCATTGCAGAT